ACATATATATATATATATATAGATATATATACATACATATATATATATATATATATATTATAGTGTATATACAATATAAAACCCTGGTGATATACAAATATTGTTGTTGAAATGCCTTTCGTTTCGTATCAGTACGCAACGCCCTTCAAGGCCAAGCATTAATGTCACTGGAGTCACGAGCAAGAACTATCCCGAAATGGTACATATTTTCAACGCAAGTTTCGAACGAAAATCAAAAGCTTGATGACCATATATTAAAAGAAGATGTGTTTACTTGCATAGATATAGGCCATCCGTTTTTGGTTTGAATATTTGGATAGTTGCTGTGCCAATGGACCGTTCTGGTGGGCTATTCTTTGCTAATCAGTAGTGATATGATCAATAAATGTTCAGCGATTACCTTATCATTGTAACATATTGCTTTAACGTCTTTTATGGAATTACATACGACTTGCTGTCGGCACTATTTATTTAAGCGATACACTTCTGCACGCAATACTTTAAAATTAGATTTAACGAGGTCGCGACAGTTCGAAAAACGACTCGCATATAACAACTGATACTCTCATACTATACCTATGCTAAGTACGCATCGAAAAGCAGGAGGTCGATTGAGATCTTAAATTACATCGCTTCGGATGATGAGTTCTGTTTACTCTTCGCGCTACTAAGTTTGGTATAGATTGTCAATTTGCTTTTAAAATGTGTTTTTCTGTCATGGCGATCTCTCCGACGCGACATCGAGAGAGAGAGAGAGCCTTCATTATGTGCTAGGGCTACTGTCGACGCGCTGCACGGTCTTCCTGTAGAATAACTGGACTCTTTTATATCTCAGCAGCATTCGAAATTGGTTAAGATCTCCTGGTCACCCAATTTGCTGTAAGTTGCGTGTAGACTTCGATGGACATTGTTGCTATTTCTACCTTTCTTCCACATCGGCAGAGTACTATTAGAAATACAAGTATACTCGAGAGATTAGTATACGGCTGTCGGCTCATTACGATAATCACACGCCGTTTTCATTGCCTACTTAAGAATGTAAGCGAGCAAATATGTGCATGATGGGTACGTACAATGCGAGACCATCTCATTGTTGTTTTACCTTCACAAGTTAGAATATTGTATTTGAGATCGGTCAACGTGTGGCGCAAAGGCTGTCATAATCAAACAAAGAGTGTAGCGATTGAAGGGACAAACTTATCTTTCATCAGATACAATATTACTTTCACAGGCAAACTGTTAACACCATTCAGGAAATATACTAGTTTTTAGGTGCGAGATTATCAAGTGATCACTTACAATCGGCAATCATGGGTGTAGCAGCACCAGGAATACAGGCCCTTCCCACTCCAATAATTCTCTGGCCAGTAAGTATGTTTGCTTTGGCGGCAGAAGTCCCCTCATACACTTGAGTTATAACGCAACGTTTGTCGAGATACATGCCCAGAGGTTGCTTTTTTACTTTAGTGAGAGTGAACCTGTGTGTATAAGGCTGTATCCGAAGTCGAATATTGACCTTGAGCGTGTTCTTCATAGCTCTGAATGTGAGAATGTGAGCGCCATATAGGTTTAGTAACTATTCATCTTGTTGTTCACACACGTAATATGTAAGTATAGTTTACTTAGCATCTAAATATGCAATTGCGCTTGTTAACTGTGCTACTATCTAGCTATAGAATTTGGTCTTTCACCTGACAAACGAACCTGCTTGTTATTAAATGTAGCTTACAGCAATTCATTTTTAACTCGGGTATTTTATTTAGAAAGTGCATAACAAGACCTTTCAGGACTCAAAGCAAAATAACACACACTGTACCGTGCACTGACTTCAATTCCTCCCCATACAAAAGTTACATACTGATTTGTACATAAAAACATATGAACATCCATCCACTGAAACTCACCTGGCTGCTTGAGGTGCACTACAGTACAAGGTTTCAGATTCATTGATCATAGTAATTTCATCACCAAAGATTATCCCATTTCTATCTGCGAGTGAACCCGGCCGAATACAATTTACAAATAGACGTCCATATTGAGCAGTCCCCAGTCCAATGCCGTATTCGTCCTTCTTGTTTTTTTTCTCCAGCGTGATATCTGAACAATAGAATGCAGATTATCAATCTCATGCGAAACGACGACTAGTGCACTCCTACTGTTTTGTATCTATCACAGGAGGTTTTGTTGTGGGGACGAGATATTGAATTTGACTACATACACTATCAAAATATAATAAAGAACTCTTTAGCATATCATTTGTGTAGGAGTATATGCGGATATATACGAAAGTGTGTAGTCTTATTAATTTTGTGTGCTCAAAGCAAATCATCTTTTCATTTTTGTAGACAAGGTACCTTCATGCAAAAAGTACAATAATATGTATTACATGTAATGTATTTTCTCTTCCAGAAACATAGGCATGTGCAAACACTGGATGTCTCGTGGTCACGAACTACTTGCTCATTTGAAGGACTGCAATGTTTCGGAATAAATTATTGTCAGAACCAACTTGTACGTAAAACTTGAATACTCAATATACGTTCTTACCTTTGACAATACATCTTTGATCATCCATACGACAGCCATGGGGAGCAACTGTGTCTTCCATCAAGTCATTATAGTACAATATATCATTGACGCCGGGTTGGTCGGAATCTCTATTGTAACTTTCAAAATCATTTGTTTCAAAGTCTGGCAAAGCTTCAAGATCTATCGCGTGTAGAAGCTGATATCGCTGCGAGGTCGCTCTTTTCTGTACAAGTGTTGTTTCGCTAGCGATAAGTATGGCAAAGCAGATATACAGAAATTGTAGGCTTGTGATGCTACAATCGCAGGCCCAATTATATCACTGCAAACTGGTAGCAGGTACCACAAGAAGCAGCCTGGCTTTATAACAAATTCATGTGATCGCGATAAATAAAACGGGAACCATTTTAAGAAAGTGTACGAGCTTGTTTGCTAGAAATGATGCGCCTAATTCTAGGTATCGAAGAATACATACTATACCTCATATACACATTTTATTCGCAACAAATGAATCAACAGTTCACAGAAGCAGTCAATTGGTGCTGAGAACAGTATAAGAACGTTGAATTAAGGCGTTAAGGAAAACGTGTGATGAAATTCAGAGTTGATTTATCGCATTGGTATACACTAGACCCGATACACACCGTTGGGGAATCATCGTCCAAAAAACATCCGCTATTTTCGGGTCCAATCTGGCTTACGACTTCTATGCCGTTATCATCCTTTACTAAATATGGGCTCTTAATTGTTATCGATTTTAGTATTGAACACGGAATATCACCTCTCAGGCCCCAAGACATATCCATCGGCTGTTTTGCCTGATAGCTGTATAAACTGGTTTTTGTTGATGATGTTTTATAGCCAGAGTCGAAACAAGGAACCTCATCTCTGCGCATAGGATCAATGGACGATTTCACAGACATCGATTGTATTCTCGATCGCCTTCGACCGCCCCTGCTTGCTGGTGACATTTTCGATTCAGCATGGTGTCGCGGATTTTCTATCACAAGAGTAGGATGCCGAAAGGCAAGGTAAGTCAAAAGAGATTTAGAATGCTCGTCTTTCATTTCAAATTATGCGCAAAAGAGTCAAAACTGTTCCAAAGTTGCGTACTCCTGGGCGTTATTATATCTGTTGGGCACCGATTTCATACTTACCCCAAAATGTGACATAGGTAGATTCTGCATCCCTTTGAAACATCTTATCATAAATTTGCAGTGTGAATTTACGATAAGGATATTGCCGAATTAAATAGCGTCTAATAGTAAGAAGGCATGTGATGGGTCAGTTTTAGTGCACCCAAAACCCAAGATTCTCGTTTCTATGACATTCTGACATTCAATGTGTCATATTGATATGATATGCAGCCGGCTACATAGCCGCCTAAAAACATCTGTGCTGTATTTCATAGCCTCCTGAAAATAGAACATTGTTTTTTTCACTGCTTTTATCCGAATATGTATTACGTAAAAATATTAACTGTGTTTTTGCTTGATTTCAGAAGGGCTACAAATGATTTTTTCAGTTTTTTATATATCGAAGAGACTGATAAATAGTGTAACAGTATCTTTTTCTAAAAATAAATATTTTCCTCCACTTCCATTCTAGCTAGAGGGGCAGACAATTTTGACGAGGGAGGTACGACGATGCGCAGATGCAATGGCGGTGATGGCGTTGCCGAATTCACCACAGTAAGGGCTTATATTTGGCGTCGATGCACTTTTCTGGTTCTTGATCCTTGTAAGTCCCCCGCGATGTTAGGAGATCGCGGCTCAGGTGCATATACGTGCAAAGATTTGCGCTAGTGACCACGATCCCATCGCTTTAGGTATGCCTTATAGTGTGAACTGGCGTCCGCTTCCGGGTGAAACATGATCACAAACCCATTTTCCTGGTTGACAACGGCAAATACTTGCTTGTGTGTTGTACTATACTGCTGAGTGTACATCGAAACTGTCTTCCGAACACTCGACTCCATACTTTCTCTGCTGATCTGAGAAAATCCTGACGGTGGTGCAGGGAGCCTTTTGTAGACATAATCACATATCAACTTGTAGCTCACTGGAACCAGGAGCTCGTACAGACAATTGCAAATCTGAGTAAAGTAGTACTGCTTCACCATGGGCGGACGACGTTTTGGTTTCAACGGTGTAATCTCTCTGGAATACAGTTCATGCGCTTGCTTGGATGGCTTTGCTGCGCGTTCTTTGGATTTTCTGCTTTTCGATTTCACACCATTACGCGAGGAACTTCGAGCCTTCCGGAATTTTTTGGTTGATCCCGAGGTAGAAACAACACTTGAGGGCAACGCCGGAATGAGGCCAGTCATTAGAGTAGAAGCTGCCGCGGATGTATCATCGTCTTTAGAGTTTATGTGTAGAGTAGACAATTTTTCCAGCCGAAATTGGTTAAGGCCTTGCTGCTCCGGAAACTGTTCGATGATAGTGATACCGGTACTGTACAATTGTCCTGTTCTGTCAGCGTCAACATTCACGGCATCAATCATGAAAGACATGGATTGTTGGCTATATTGTCCGCCTTCAATGGTGAATCTATTTTGCGACGAACAGCGTGGAGTTCCGACCTACGATTTTAAAATAGCAGGATGGCATATATTATACCCATTGAGTCTTTCCCGCAAACGTGTACTGGAAACAGCCGGCACTTTGTGTCCGTATTGATGATAGGACATTGAAAGTTTATATAAATCAACCTGAGTATCGGAAGAAAACTCGGCGATATCCGAGAAAGTCAACGAGCTTCCCGCATCTGAATTCAGCTGCGAGGAATATTCAAATATGCTCGTTAGACTGCTGCGTGATGATCGACAGGAAGGGTTATATATAGCAACGACGGAACGAGTGCACTTACCGTAGTCTCGCTCAATGTACGTATAAGAGGACCGTCGTGAAGTGGTTCGCCCGGGTAAAGTAGCGTCTGTGCCAGTGGATATTGTGAATATGGATCTAGTAATTGCGAATTACACATCGGGACCAAAGCCTCACTTGACTCGCGTGCACGATAGTCGATTTTACCGTAAGACCCCTCTTGTAACTCCTCGAAAGCTGTAGGATGCACGTAATCGTGCGGTATTTTCAGCATCAGACTGATAGAGGATTCTAGTAACGAAAACTCGGATAGAAAGCGAACAGATCCTTCATCCATATTCACGTGGAGGTGCTGATTTTGATTTTTTTGTGCAGTAGTAGCCATGGTTTATTATGTCGCGGTAGGTTTCAATATGTAGAAATGTTCTTGGTTGTATGTTGGTATACTGTTTAAATATATATTTACCAAGAACCACATTGCACGACACAAGGAAGTACAAGTCACGGTTCTTCACTTGGTTTTGCCTTATTAGATTTTGCCTTCATTTCTCTTGTCTCGCGAGTTAAAATGCGTGGATAATTAAAAAAATGCAATAAATACATATTGTATATGAAAATGTCAATCGGCCACCGTTTGCCCCACTACTAGTAGAGAATAGGCCACTACACAGACCACAGTACACACTACACAATTTACATTAAATACATACATAAGTATTTAATTACATACCCCAGCAGAAACTAGAAAGTGAGAAAACGGAAAACACTGATATAGCAGCGGCCAGAAATGATATGTAAGCATTTATAGACCTCGACGAATCGGATTACAGCTGATTATCGTGGATGGTTCACACACTTTTAAGAACCGGGGCCTTGAGGAGACCCTACGTCATGATAAGGCAACACTAATATTGGCTCAAATCGGGATTTCTCGACGGTTTTGAGCATCCCGCGTCGTCCTGAAAAATGTGAGCTGGTCAATTTTTTGTAGCACCATTATTTCGAAAGTTGACCTCGCAGATTTTGCGGTATGCCCAAAATATACCCTTTTGACCAATATAATGTTGTCTTTGTACTCTGAGAGTCTCAAACTTATCGGATTTGAACTCCCCATCTTCTGACGGCCAGAAATTTGTCATTCGGCCCAAATGGGTGATGTGGCCTTATAGTGGCCTCAGACATGACCCCACACCACTCAAATTTGAGGGAATTTTTTTATTGCATTTTTGGAATTTGGAGTGCACTATCCAAATCTCAGAAAATTCTGACGTATGGTTCTTATGTAGGGTTGGTTATTCAAGGTCTCTTGATTGTGTACTTTGTTTATTCCCTGTTTTAATGTTTTTGAAGGCAGTTTCGTGCAAAATAAACGTCGAGGACAATCTCAAATCTGAATCTAGTAATCTACAGAGGTCAGACCGTCAGACTCTCAGAGAGTATTTATTTATGTAATAGAGAGACGTATTTATATACATTATATATCTATTTATTTAAAAAACAAAATACCGTTGGGCGTTGGCTCTGAACTTCTCTAAATAAATACGCCCTCTGATTTCAAGTTTTCAACTGTCACTGAGAGACTCACACAAGGCGAGATCAACACATTTTTTTGATTTTGTTTATAAAAAAATACTAACAATTACAAAAACAAGCAAAACAAACAAATAAAACAAAAATTATTTTTATAAGAATATATTTTGGAAAATCTCTTTATTTTGATTGGCTTCAGATACTTAGAAACAAAGTTTTCAGATCCATAGCCTTCTGAATTATACATGATTATCCGTTCTGAGGTTTTTTAAATTAGGTTTTAATTCTATATATATATAAAACCTAGTATTTTATTAAAACTGTATACATATTTACTGTATAATAGTTTTAGTTGTTTCTGTAAATTGCCTTTTTTCATAGCCTTCTTCTAAAAAAAAGTCAGAAGGCTATGCTTTTTCCCCTGTGAAATAATCGAAACAATAGAGTGTTTTGATTGACTCAATATGTATTTGCATTCAATACGTATTTATATGCTTTTTGCCAAAGTTTTTGGTGACATTGTTTGAAATCTTTTATTGACGGTATCTATTTTAGGATAGAAATATAGAATCGATCCACATTCCCCACTGCTGGCCACTGGCCCTGGGCCCAGTTCAGTGCACACTACTACTACTCTAAAGAGAGCATACGTCCAGACCTCAAGCCGGGCACTAGGCCGCCGCGGCGCCGCCCAAGCCACGATCGTAACCTGTCAATTTATAAATATATATAGAAAGAATGTGCTCCTAAATCCTAGTTCGAATGTATCCTTTTTTTTTGGAAGTATTTACACTTTTACATTGTTGAATTATAAATATGAACATACTGCCAATTAGAACAATACTGCACATGTACTGCAGACTGCAGTGCTTCCTTTTTTTCTCAATCGTCAAACCTGGCGTGTGGCCATTGATGATTGAGGAGTCGGTTAGTGGACAGTACTGTACCGGCCACTCATCCACACGTTGACCTCGCGTTTTCGTAAGCATATTTATGTGTAGAATTCACTTCCGTCTATTGTTTAACATATGTATATGCATATGCATGTACACATACGTATGTGTGTAGACGTGTACACATACACGTATATATATATATATATATGTATATATATAGTAGATG